TCTCTCTCTCTCTCTCTCTCTCTCTCTCTCTCTCTCTCTCTCTCTCTCTCAAAAAAAAAAATAATAATAATAATAACTAAGAAATATTGAGTGCTAATTCACCTAAAGAAGACAACTCCACTACGACAGAAGCCATTTCTTCGCTAAAAAATGAGTAAGTATACTCAAACTTATCAGGTAAAAGTTATCTTGATCAAACACCAAATTCTCGTGACTAATTTGGAAGTAAACCTGTGGCAGCTAGAGGGGAGAATTAACAATCAGATCTTTAGAGTTATAGGGTTAACTGAAAAACTGCTCAATGCTCTCGTCCTTACGCTCGTGTGTTTCCAGCGCTCGTGTGTTCGCAAGAAGTTCGGCCTTTAGGAAACATTTGGAGAACACATAACATCATCTTTTATACAGTAAATCAGGCTCACACCCTGGAGCTTCATTTCCTTATACATATTGTATTCATCACAGAATATGACCAAGGCCATACATTTTTAACATCATTAACGCAGTCGTTATACTTTTTACCTCAATGTGAGTTGTATCATATTATTACATCATAATGAGACCACTAGCAGACTCTAGAAAGGCCGAGCGAGGACTGCGCATAGCTCTTTTTTTTCCCCCATTTTCTTTTTATTTATATGAAGATATTGTTAAGTTCCTCAGCGTGCCACCCACCGATGTGTCCGTGAAGGTCTGGGAACCATAGAAACTGGGAAAAAACGTTTCAGTCAGAGCGACTGCCCGTAATACACGTGAAATCAACAAAATTTCAAAAGTGCAATTAGATTTTTATATTATTATTTATGTTCTATTCATTGACCCTTCTCAAGAAATGGCGGCTAAATAAAACAACAACAAAAAAAGCTGTGTAAACCAACACACGTAAGCATCGTTGATTTCCGTCGTAATCCTTAATACTTTCCTGTAACAAAACGTTCAGTGCAGCTGAAAAAATATAACTTCGTTAGGACATAAAGGCCTAGTGGAGACATCATTCGTTCGAGAGACTATCTGAATATAACGTTAGTGGATCTGCCGGATTTAAGTGCCCCCCTCTGTGTTCTATAAATTTTCATTTGCTAGTAGTTACCATTTTAACTATTTTACTTTCATGAGTATACTTTTCTGAATCATGAATCGAAATTTCGGGCGCCAGTTCTTGAGAAAGGTCTTTGACGATGTCTTCGGTAATCCAACAAAATTTTTCAATATGTTAAAGATTTAGTTCGATTAATATAGTCGACACATATTTATACAAATAATTTATCAAATGTTTACTTGAGATTTGAAACTGCGATCACGCCTTCCTCAAAATGGCTGGGAACTGAACAGCACAGTCACCGTTCTCAAGTATGCTTTTCACATAATCTTGGATGGTTAAATTTCTGTCAATTGGAATTAACTTCTTCATCAAATTCAATTTCATGCGAAGTTCTTTTCTGGATGTGAAGTTCTCTCCTCTAGCTTTATCACATAATGTCACCACAGCGAGTTTTTGTAAGGGGGCTTATTTTGTTGGTACGCCACAGAGGGTGAACAAATGCCTCCTACTACTTGAACAACAGCTGGTTGGTTATATGGAGGTCGACACGTCTAAGAAGAACAACCAACTAATTTCACTTTAAACAATCACCAATGACATTCAGTGCCTGCAAAGAGTATCCTGTCATGTCCGTCATGTTACACCGATGGTTTCATTTGCTATCACAGTGTTTCAGTTGAGCTTTGAAGGTCTATTTTCGGGATATCCTTGAACGAAACGGACTGTTTTTTGATTCTCCTCTCCGTCAGCTGTCCCTCGACTGCATGAAAGCTGCCGACACTTGGAGCTCGAGAAATTTGGGGCGTGCTACGATTTGACCAATCAGGAGATTCCAAATCGGCGGGCGATCTCCGCGAAGGAGATCTCGGAGACGTGTCAGCCGTCGGTGTTGCTCCAGCCATAGGATTGAAAAAAACGTCATCGTTGCCGGGGTTCTCTGGTGATACATCGCCGAAGCCCTGGTTGTGAACACCTTTCATGGGAATGCACTCCGGTGAGCTATCCTGAGGATGGCCATTTTGGTAAACATTGCAGTTGCCGTTAAAGAAACCAACTCCTGTTTTGATCTCAGTACCTGAAACAGCGGATACTTGTGAGATTCGCTTCGATCTCGTGTCATCTTCAGCTATTGTGGAGCGCTTGGTGCGTGACCGGGAGTAGATAAGCGACGACAGCGTCCCTTTGTAATGTAAAGCTCGCGTGTGGCAGAACCCAAAGCGACTCAGAAGGGCAAAGAACTCGCGCTTGAACGCTTTCGTGAAAAAGGCGTACAAAAATGGATTGCATAGGCTATTGAGTGGAAAGAAGAACACGAGGAGAAACTTTGAATCCTCCACTCCGATAAGAGGTGAGCCAAAAGCTGCTATAAGGCCCAGCAATGCAATGGGGGTCCAGCAAACAAAGTCGGTAAAAACAAGCAAAGCCATCCGCTTGGCAACTTTTGCATCATTCCTCTGTGGGGCCCCATCAACTGGACCGGGTCCTACCACGACTTGAAACATTTTCGCGTACAATCCCGCGATGACCAAGAAAGTCCCAAAATTTAGTACTAATACGATACCCACGTAGGCCAAGTCTCCTTTCGTGTGGGAGTCAAAGGGTAGGCAAATTGCCACACTACTATAGCTGTTTACACCAGCAAGAGGGAAAATGGCGAGGAGAAGAGCAAGAACCCATCCTGCAATCATAACTTTAACTGCTTTGCGGAGTGAAAGTCGAGTATTCACTTCCATGGCGTACACGATGGCAAAAAATCGTTCGATGGTGATGACTGTTAGAGTGTACACCGACAGCTCTGTGGAGAACACAGCAAGGAAGCCCGCGATGTGACAACCAGCACCGTACTGCCAGGTCCTGACATAGTTGTAATAATCACCTGAAGTGTTTAGCGACACGCACACGAGCAGAAAGATGTAGAGGCCCAAACAAAAGTCCGCAAAGGCCATGTTGCACATTAGAAAACGGTGAACGTTCAAACGACGATCACTTGAGAGCATGACAACGACGACGACAAGATTTGCAATTAGTGCCACACTTCCTACCATGAAAGACACCACAGTAAGCCATTTTGCTCCCATTATATCCTCACATGGGTGGTATGCGTCTCTTTCGGGCAAGCAAGTCACAGTTGAAAGGGGTGGTTCTGTTACTATACTTCTGTTTGTAGAGTTTTCATGATGGAGTGTGGGAGGATGAGAAGCTGTTACGGGTAGAAAACCATGGGGGAGAGTAACCAAACCCCCGCCGCTGGAACCAGACGTAGTTATCTGTGAGGTATAACTACCATTTGTATGGTTAGCCGTGGGGGCTTGTGTCCCCCATCCTCCCCAGTCACGACGTTTTCTTCTTTCCCATGGGTTAAAAGGAGTGGTCGACGAATTTCGGTGTTGGCTCGGGCTGTGAGTTGGCGTGTATGTTGTAGATCTAAAAGATCCTGATGCAACAGACGTTAACGTAGAGGATTCATCAGTATTTGTCGTGGGTTCCGTCGCTGTGCTTTTGTAAGCAGCTGATGTAAAATGTTTAGGTGAGGAGGTCCACCACTCGTCGCTAATTTGTCGTCCCACATTGCGCTGGTATGTACCCAGATCGAAGGCACAACACAAAAAAGAGTTGTATTTACTCAAATACACCTCTGTGATGCTTTTCAGACCGGCTGGAATCGACCAGAAATCTTCAACATTCTCCAGGTGTAATTTCTTTAATTTATCAAGTCCTGTTGCTGGTAGCGATGTGATTTTTGTACCTTGTAAGAACCTGGAAAACATGGTAAGGAAATTGATGAAAATAATGAACGTGTCTTTACTCATAGACCACAGTCGTAAATTGCTAGCCTAACTGCTTTTCGTTTGTATTCAAGTAAATTTTCCTTTTCAAGCCTCGACAAAATGTTCAAAAATAATTGAAAAAAGAGGTCAAGAAGGTTTATTTGCGAGCACTTAGAACAATAATAATCACGTCCGCCTTTTGAATGAGTTAAACCTCGCCATCATTGCTTGAGATATAGGTTTCTACAGAGAGAAGGAAAGCCGGGGCGCAGCAAGAGGACTTAAACACAAAATAAAATGGATTCTGGTCACTGCCATATTTGCCTTCTACCCTTTTTCTTTGGACTCATAAAATAAGATCAATGTTTCCGATCACATTGTCACGTTTTGCAGGTAAGATAAACCTTGCAAGACGTCTCGGGTAGTGCGTAAGGCTGTCGAAGTAAGAGATCTGCGAGACTGGTAGGGTCACTGCTACAAAATACGACGAAACTTTTTTTGTGACTTTTTTAAATTTGTCGACAAGGATCTAAAGATACTTTTCAAAAGAGCTTTTCGAAAAATGCTCATATCTTCGTAATACCCTTGTCGTTTTAACTACTTCCCAAAACAGTTTTATTGCTTTTAGGATAAGATCTTCCAGAATTTTCAACTCTGAGCTGGGTGCAACTGTGTCATACGAAAAATATTTGTTACCAACTCTGAATTTGAACTAAACTTGCTTCAAAAATTTGATGACGGACGTTTTCCAGGGCGTTTTAGTTCTTGTATAGATTACAGAGAGATTGGCAGTGCTTGCATGTCAGAGTGTTTCTCGTTAATTGCCTAATTTCCGAATTAGGTAATTGTTTTTATAATTTCAACAAGTGTTGACCTCATTAAATTAGATACTTACAGCTCTTGGAGGTTTGAACCTTTAAATGCATCGTCGTCAATTTTTTTCAAAGGTGAGTTCTGTATAGTCCTGAAATGAAAATACAAAAAGCATTAGTTCAGCTGAAGTTAATTTTTTTTGTGGCTTCAGTTCTTAATATGGCTATCCTGAAAATGCAGGATTCGTGCCTCACAAGTGTATTGTTAAACTCAATTTTATGACCTTGAAAAAGAAAAAATTGGAGCAGGTGTTCAGAGTCCCGGCTCGACTGCTGCTTTGTTTGGATCTTCTTCTGCTCCTTTGCAAGTTCTATGATTGGTTTACAGGCTGACGCTTCCACCAATCGGGTTCAAATTCAAAAGACTTTTGCAATTTGTTTAACTAAGAGTAACTCGGAGTAATTGACGGAAAATAAACGAGCGAATCTACTTACAAATTTTCTAGCTTTTTGTTGTTACTGAATATAAACGCAGGTATCTCTGTGATGCTTGTCTCGTCTAATCTTCTGCAAATAAAAATGGTGGAATTTTTACGAAAAAACATCATTTTCCAACTAATGAACACGAATTGTTTTCATAAAAAAAGGGATAAGAATATTCTTTGTCCTGGAATCATAGCGTTATAATCTTGGAAAAGACATCTCACTCTCACAATGTCTCTCTCTACCTAAGAGTTTAAATGGTTCTGTAGAACTGACAAAATTCTGGGGAAGAATGAGCTGTGAACTAGCAACCAATATCGAGAGACTAGCGATAACGTTAGTTGCTAGATAATGTCGAAACTGCGAATGAATCTCTCGCTGAGATAAAAGAGAATGGAAAGACCTCTTTCATGATGGCGGGAATGATAATTTACCGCTTACTACATCTTTCGGTTAGTACGTGCGTTGTGATTGGTCAATTCAACGGGCCATAATGCACTGCGCGGCCCGCTAAATTAAAAAGTCTCTTTTAACTGAAATCTTTCCCATCTACTTGAACCTAGAGTTAAAATGAATATCTTACTAACTTCGTTTTTTCCGCTCGAATTTATGGCCCGCACGCTTCACGCTTGGGCTATAAATCCGAGCGGAATGATTTTGGAACTCATTTCAAAATGTTTTCGCGGCCAGAAAGGCTAATTTATACGGATACAGAAGCATAGCAATTAAGCCCGCTATCTATGAAGCAGGTCTGCAGAGTCTGTACTTACAATCGGGTCAGCTCCGGTAGATTGTTTAGAGACACTCGCGACAATGCTTTGATGTTATTGTGGTTGAGATAACTGGAGGAAAAAAAAAATGGAACAATTTATTTTAAGACAATGGTTAGAGATTGGTGTGAGGAATTGAACGAATAGTAAACCCACGTAATAGTTAAACTGCGTCGGTGGGGGGAGGGGGGAGGGGGGGGAAGGGAGAGAGGGTATGACAAGATGACAAGATAATTCGGTTTTATCAACTGAGTTAATAATGTAACTTGGCTACCGTAAAGAATTATGAAAGCTTGAGAAACTCTCGAGGTAAAAGCTGCGGATTTCCGTAATCTCACGCAGCACAAGAAAATGTTATTCAAAACTGCTAAAATCCATAAGATTTTTTCGCTCACGCCTGATCGGTTTAAATTTTTTACATGACCAATTTTGTTCCTGGGTGGTGATATTCTACCAGTGGTATTTATCAACTTTCAAATCATGCGTCAAATTCAGTGAAAGTATTTCTTCATAATTTTGCAGTTGTTAAAGAACAAGAGACAAACTTGTTCGTTCATATAGCTGCTATGAAAGGTAGACATGCCAGTCGAGATGCGAATTTGTTCACGTTCATCTACCGTTCACATCTATAGACAGATATCTTTACTTACAGCCTCTTCAACGGTGACCTGGTTTTGAAAATAGGAAAGGTCTCCAGTTTGTTGTGATCCAGGTTTCTGAGAGACAAAACATCAAACATAAAAAAAAAACCGGTCAGCGACTTTTCTCCTTCAACTAAATAACGAAAAAAAGCTAATTTAATGCAAATGCATGTTTCAACAAATGGATTTCATACTTACATTTCGAAAAGATCTTTAAGGCCATCAAAGGCTCCATCCTGTATGTGAGTAATCATGTTGCTTTCCAAGCGTCTGAGGATAAAAAAGGAGGACATTTTCAGTTCCAGTTTGAATTTTCAGCGATTTAATGTTAAAAACTAACAATTTTTCACCGGGGTGCAAGTGAGAAGTGGTGGGTATTTACCGAGATTCGGAGCTGGTGGCCAATTTTCATTAGTGTATAATAGCGTTGAAGGTGCGCGCTGATTGGCTGATCCTTCTTCTAATATCCTTCGCTATTTACCTCCGAATAAGACGCACGGGATTTGCGTACGAAAAATTTTGTAATTGTTGCAGGAAAAAATGAGTTAATACCATCTTTTTGTGCTATTTTGTCTCACTGTTTTATTGTATACTAAAAACCATTCACCTCAGTGTCGGTGCCTAGAGATGGAAATATAAACCACTAGCCTCCTACACTACAGGTAATAGTTGTTAATTATCGACTGATAATTAAATAATAATAATAATAATAATAATAATAATAATAATATCAGATGATGATATCAAATTGTCATGGTGTTTCACTTTCATTTAGCTAAATTTCCTTAACACCGCCATCTTGAGATGATTAAAAAGTTATTCTTCTAAGTCTACTTAAGGGTAGTTTGCTATAAGGAATTGTACAGAGGATACCAGCTACCGATGCTGGTAAAAAGAATAAAAAACTGGAAAAAAAGTATGGAAGATAATATACACTTACATGAATGATAGGTTCTTCAATTTATTCAGCTCGCCTTCGGGTATGTTTGAGAACGAGGAGTCATATATATTCCTACAAAAAGAACAACGCAAAAACAATTGTTTAACACATAAAATGGAGTACCGGTGACAGAAAAGAGAATGCATTTGTAAAAAACAAAAAATTATCCTTTTTACTCCCGTGATCTGACAGGGCAAAATTCCCTGATGGTGTTATACTATTAAGCACTTCCTGCGATGTTTTACAAGGATTTCCAGCCCTGAGAAAAACCGTAACAACTCACGTTTAAAATTACGATATTTTTTTAACGTGTTCGATATTGCCAATGAACTGCTGACACGTCACCCGCCTTTCGCGCCATTTGACCGACTTTCCCCGTTGGTAAAGGCCTATAGTGTTTATATAATAAACAAAAGAATACATAGTAGATATGGAATTTCTTTTCTCGTGATCAATTTGAAAAGAAATTTAAATCTACGCGCGCCCATGTATTATTCCCTATTTATTTTCTGTACCACCACCTGATCATGCTGTGTCATACGAAAAATTTTTAGCTCGGGAGTTACTGTTATCTTGAAATGGACGATTTTTTCGTTACGCAAGCTTCGCTAAATACCCGTGACAGGGTCTACAGTCACAATAAAAACTCGAATTAATAATGTATCCTCACGAAGACCCCACTTCACAAAAAATTTTTGTCAGGCTTATGAGAATTATAGCAGAATTCGTGGAGAAATTTCCTCTGTATTGAATACCAGTTGAAAATGCCTTTATTCTTTGGCATACTGTGCGCTTACCTGAAACAAAATTAACTACATGTAGCAGATGGCTTGAAAACAAAGACAGCACTTCATACTGAGAAGAAGTCTTAACTTATGCAGTTAGCGATTATTCATTTGTTGTTTCCACATTAGGGCAACACTTCAGTGAAAAACATGTCAACTCTTGCAAATAGCATGAAAAAAGTTGCTTCCTTTTCAAGATTTCCATCTCGCGTATGGTCAAAAGAGGCAAAAAGAGGCAAGATTACGGCAAGGAGAAAGAGAGGATGGAAAAAAATTCTCGATAATAAATTCAAGAAATTAAAAGAAAGAAGTTATTCCCTTTCTGATGGAAAACAAATCTCTCATTCTTGTAACAAAAAAATTTTGTGAGAGCAGCAGTTTTGTGTGTTTATATGGACAGGGTGCGATTTGCAATGGCTATCAGAGGCGAGTGGAAGTATCGTGGAAACCTGCTTTATCTTTCCTTTCATCGTTGCGAAAGAACAACGTTTTTTGGACGATCAGCGCGCGATCTACTTAACTCTGCACTTGAGATAAAAAAAAGTGTTTACATAGTTTTTTTTTCTTTCACAAAATTTTTTTTCTTTCTGCAAAATAGTGATTAAGAATTTTTATCAGCCGTGTGCAATTATGGAAAGGAAAAAAAAGAAGGCACAGCAGTTTGTCCCCTTCTCGAAACTGGTAGAATGTAGTTTAATCAAGAAAGCGAGCAGAAGATTGTTGGCGCCAGTAATCCATTTACAACATTTACAACATTTACAACATTTACAGTTTCAGTCAAAATGTCAACGGTTCAATTAGGCAGTAATGCAGAAACTCTGGAGCGAGAAAACCTTAAAAATTATTTAGACCCAAGGCAAGCTCGCCATTCAAAGGATTAGTCACAATAATTAAAATTCAAAGCTTGAATTTATTATTGAACTCTACGTGGGTGGTAAGAAATACCAGCTAAAGACCCGCACTTCCTAAGAAGTAGTAAAAGGTGTAAATTTAAGCTTAGAGCTTGAAACTTCAGACAAAAATAACAAAGCTGTTTTCCAAATAGAAGTGTTTTCTTGTTGTTGAGGGGTCAGAGCTCGCCTCAAGAGAAAACAATGGATCATGTTAAAAATATTGCCCACGTTTTTCTATCGGAGTGTTTAACTAAACTTGTTTTCGTGTCGCAAGTTCGTGCCAAATTTCTTGTATTTCAAGGAGCACCTCGACGTTGTCCAAGTCACGAAACCTCATCCTACCAAAATTTATTAAAATATTCAGTCATTTCAAAACATCCACTTGAGATTATGTGATAGAAGATAATAAAACAAGCACTGACATCTTTTTAGGCGAAAATAAACAAATGTGGCTTCTTAAACTTTTGATCCAAAGCTGAAAAAGGAAGGTACAGAAAAAAATCCAACAAACTATTTAGTCAATTTCACCTGCCTTTCAAATGGTTTCCATAAAATTCCCTTCTCCAGTTGACACGTGTCATGGACAAAGAAAAACGCAAAACAGAAACAACACTAATATCGCTGAAACGGGTGAGCTAGTAACAGGCAAAAAACGCTTGTAGGGCAGCGAGAGGGGAATTTTAAACGCTTGCCAGCAGATTTCTTCGACACATCTATCCATCTACCTTTGAGGGAGATATGAAAGATGAAGCAGCGATGGAACACTTCATTAAGGTGCCGGAAGTAGGAATTACGAGATAATTATAAATCAACAGTAATTGAGGCGAAAAAAAAGGTTATTGTTAAAGCGATGTTACTTCTGTTGACATGGTCTAAGTGAAGAAATTAACATGCCATTAACTATTTGCATAACACATGTCTGCAAAGAACTCGTGGTTAAAATTACCTTGCACCCATAGTTTTTCGGATAAGCAGTTTTACAGAAGAAGCTAAACAGTAAGAGCAATCGAGAGTTACTTAGCAAAGCTGTGACGTAAAATCTCCGCGGGATTGACTTTATTTGCTGCAATTACTAGTTCACGAGTATGGAGTCTACTGCAGCGTGTCTTCGACATTCTGTAATCTGACCCGAACGCGGGATCGCGCTAAAAGTAGGGTGATTATAGGATTCCACGGCCTTTGATAATTATAACCATGACATTAGTAGAATTGAGACCTCAATCGATGCGCTGAAACCGATTTTCTACCAAGAATACGTACAACTCGCACAAAAAAAGCATCCATATTGTGCAATCGAGTGCAAAAGTCTCTTAAAAAGTCCGTGTACTTCTCAAAACGATAATAATTACTGTGACAAAGGAATTACGTCCTACGGCAGCAAACAATGTTACGAAATAATAAAAGAGAGTTCCGCAACACGACTAGGGTCTGAAATTAGAATTTGAAAAGGCAAACTTCCGCTCAGCAAGCTACTTTCAATGACAAAGGATATTTCAAAAATATTTTCTACAGCTCACTAGCGAACTATTGCGAAATGCCACGAGGAAAACAGATTCGGTGCAAAACAACACATCACCTACATACGAAATGAATGACGTTTATTCGTACATATTCAACGAGGAAAAAAGGCCAATTCCCCTAAACGAAGGAAGAGCGAGGTTAAGTTTAAATCTCCATAATGAGAAGCAAAAATAGAAAAAAAGTTTTCCACTTACAGTGTACTTGTATTTTCCGGGAAACTGTCCATGGATGGGAAAGACCTCATCTTGAAGCATGTTACTTCCATTTTGCGCGCCACCGTAAAGCATGTGCATTCGGCAGGACATTTTTTCCCTTCTCCAAACTGAACCAGAGTCAAAACGGTCAAAATTACAACAAGCATCTTGCACTGAGGCCACAGACTGGAGCTAGTTTAAAACTGTGCAATATATATGCTGCAAGGTAATAAGAAATATGACAGCGCTTACAGCATTCGTCGTCAATACATCCTGTGTTTTCGATAGGGGAGGAAACTTGATCGTTTTTTAGTCACGAGAAGATTTCGATCACATGTCAATCAACGTCTTATACCAGACGATCACCTGCGGACCGTGAGCGCACTGAAATGGATTCCCCCCTCCTCCTCACGGCCAAATTAAAATAATCATTGTCGACACGTTGTTTCAGGAAACCGCAGTATATGCCTTTTTTTTTTTTTCTCTGTAGGTACATTATAATGAGCTGGTTGTAATTTGTAATTTCATTAATACTATTATCTCGTGCGGAAAGGATTTGATGAGAATTTGACCCTGATCCTTAACATTTGCCATACCAAAACTCACTGGTGAAAACGTGCCAACATGCTAGTTCAAACAACGAAGAGTGTTAAGGAACGTTATGGGGGGGGGGGGGGGGGGGGGGGGGGGGGGGGGGGGGGGCGATAGATATGAAGGGGGGGTTCCCTGAAATGCTTTCTTTAACTTGGTAAAAAGAATTTATAGCCACCGAGGTCTTTAAGGACCTGTTTTAGTTCAATCTATAGATCATATATTCCACCTATTTTGATGAGGCTTTTTTTTTCCCAAAAAAGCCGTTTTTATTCACATCGGGAAATTTAATTATCAGATCAAATGTTGTGCAAAGCGGCCAAAACTTCCTCACCCTGGTGATTGTTTAAGTGAGCCGAGATTATGGTTTTTATCAGGTAATTGGAGAATTTTCAGTTTCAGATAATCTATTTTTCACGAGAGGGCTGTTGGTCGGGTCTTAAAATAAATCGGGTGTAGAACTCTAAAAGAGGAAAAGCATTCCGCGCCAACTTTCTGTCCGTTCCTCCCGCCTCTCTTGACATAAGTTCAGTTCACGATTGTAAATAGTCATGAACTTTCAGCCTTGTTCTTGTTCGAACAAGAGTGCATTTGTTATCTAAGGCACTTGTAATTAAAACTTCACAAAGTGTATGGTAGATTGCCAGTAATTTTGCTTCGACACGTCAGTCCCAGTTGCAGTGCTTTATGTCACCATAAAGAAGACCATTTTTTCAGGATGTTGTACATTTTTTAGGCTTCAAGACACAAAGCAGTGCAGCATAGGCTACGTGACCTGAAACAACTTCCATAATTAATCACGAACCTCTAACAACGACGCTAAACATAACATCCGTAAACTTTTATATCACCCACGTTTCTGTTATGTCTATGACTTTAGTTTATGCGGTATGCTTGGACGTTGTTATTCAAAATAATTTCATATCTAAGTACATATCTTCGTACGAAAGATTCTCCGAGCCATTTTGCCATCTATTTAGGCTGATTTTGCGGTTATTTTGGGTCAAGACCCAGTACAACAACGCTTGACAAGTTCTGGAGACTTGTTGTGTGACATTCGCGGTGAGTCCGAAGAAACAGTTGTACCCGTGCCAAATGCTTCCCAAGGTTAATTATAGACATTTCACTTCCAAAATTATCATTTGATCGATATAACTTCCTGGTATATTGAGATATATATTCCTGGTTGATGATTTCAATTTTCGAAGCTAATTATTATTACTGTTTATTGAAAAAAAAAACAAACATCAGTGCACCGGAAGTTGGATCCAAAATGAACAACACAGGGCTGAACTCACGGGACGCAATTTTACAGCGGATCGCATTTAAACCTGATAATCCCGTGGAGGACAGTTGTACTGGCAGAGAAAAGAACTATTCAAAGCAGTGCTTGCCCCCGTTGACTCACCGGCAAGTTCTTTGTGATTTCCCATTTAGGTCTTCTACCTCTTGTACCTGACTCAAGTTTGCCAGCTGTCGAATACAACTGGAATAACAGCCTCGGGTAACTAGCGAGTTATAGAATATAATATAGAATTCACTAAGATCCGCGCACGTACCTTAGAAAAATTCCAGCAGGTTTAAAAAACGAGTTGATGCGGTACGGATTTGGAGCAAAATATGCTTCGTTATGACCACACAAGTGCTATATCCAATGTGCAAACACGTTGTATCATCCTGTTTGTTTCGTCTTATACGTTTAAGCGAGTACACAGTGTAACAATAAAGTCTGGATGATTGGCTCTGCGTGTTTCCGTTTCAGAGGAAGGTACATTCAATTTGATTAAAAAATTCAAACAGGTCAACAATTCTTTTCTACAAACATTACGAAATCAAGTAATGGACTACAGTAATGCCATTAGCAACCTTTACAAAAGTTTACGCTCAGATATCATTAGTGTCATTTTGAATTGGTTGTATATCTTTCGTTTTTGAACTTACTTTCTTTTCCTTTTTTTTTTTTCTCGGTCGTTCGAGAAATGATTCCAGAAACTTGTAGCATTGTGGAAGACGAGAGTTTAACCGAGCGAAATTTACAGGTTTTTACAAGCCCGCGTATCAAACTGATTGAAATGAAATCAGGTATATTACACTGAACGAGTCCAAAACCTTTCGGTTTTCAGTGAAATTAATTTCCAACTCGTTTCGAAACCTTATCGATATTAAGTAAGGGAGCTAATGAAAAAAAAATTCCAATTACACTGACATTAATCAAAAACGAGACATAGTAATTAATGCGTGAGATAAGGAAAAAGTAAACAGTCTTGATGAAATATCCTCATTCCGCATTATCCTGCTCTACCCATTTCTTTTCAGACTTTTAACACGTGTGTGTGAAAAGGTAAAACAATTTGAAAACGCCGAATTCTTGTCAGAGGTTTAAGCAACAGGAATTTTCTTTAAAATATCGAGACCATCAACTCTTTTTGTGATCACCTTCTCAAAAAGGTGACCTTGTTTTGCCAGCGAACAGGCCTTTGAAACGACAGGAGAAAGTGTGGGTTTAGGAGGACCACAATTCCACAAAACTTAGTTTAATTTTCTAAGATTTCTCTGATGCATGCAATGACGCATGCAATTGGGGTATCTGTTAATCGAAACAGCCCATTTATTTTCCTCTCTTTGATGTGTAGTCTATCTAGACTACTCGGAGAAACATTTTGTCTAACTAAAGTGTTGTTTAGTCTGTTAAAAATCTGGCTTTTTAAATATTGAAAACACTGACTCACTCTGTATCCAGATTCTCTCAGAGACCTGAACAACGCGATACACGCGCGAGGAAACACGCGATTATAGATCGGTGGTGAAGTGACGTCTCACGCGCGTGTTTCCGTCATGGCGGCGGTCCAAGAGAACAAATACTTCAGATAAGGTTACTGGAGTATTGCAATTGACGGCACTCCGACCATTTGTCGTAAAACCAAGACCACGGATGTCAAATAGGAACGTAGGGAAGCATCAAATTAAGTGGAAACAATTTTAAAAGCTAACATTATTAACAAGGAAACGCCACTGATCATGCGCATGGAGATGCAAGAGAACACGTCACGATTTGTTACAAACTTGGATCTGATTTGTCGAAGGAGTGGTGTGAGCTATTTTGAAAAAAAAAACCAATGCAAGAAAACATTTACTTCGACACTCGATAATATTTTGGTCAATTGTATATCATTCTTGCTTTGATTGAAATAAAAGCTTATCACAAGAAAACAGGATTGTACACTGGCAAAACCAGATTGAAATGAGCATAGGGTGCTTCAGAAGTTTGAGCATCCACCAAAGTAAATTCAATTTCTACATTATAGTCAAAACCGTGTCAAAAAAGAATGTTTTAATATCAGCTTAGCCTCTCTCTCATGACCTCTTCTTTACATTTTTATGTTATTTTTTGCCAATTTTGCGCACAGTAGCGCAAATTTGGGCTGGTATGTGCCTTGGAATTCCAAGTGCGCTCAATTTGTAAATTCACTTTACCACGTTTAAACACTGTCGAGCAATCACGTATTGAGAATGAAGGGGATCCTTTTTGGATAGAGCACCAAATTCCTGAAGGCACTCGAAAAAATCAATTACTATTTGCTTCTTGAAAATAATTCAGAGAAAGTACAAATGTGGCTAAAATGGAATTTTAAAAATACTCGATGCTTGAAAATTGGCCCTTATAGATTAAGACAGTTTTTTCAGCCTTTTCACTATTATTCGAGCTACGAAAGCCCCTTTCGTTTGAACAAGTTCTTGGTATTTTGTATATTTGATGACAAACGACAAAAAAGAGAGAGGTTACATGCACACCTGCAAAGAAATCCTTCGATGAAGCAGAACGATAACTTCATTTTTTTTTCCTTTCATTTTTTTTCCAAATTAGATGATGCAATCGTACCTTCAGATGTCCATGCGTGGCCGGAAAGTCTTCACATTTCAGCTCTTTTCCGATAATCCCTTGATCGCCTTTTAATGTGAGCGGACGATTCTTCTCTTTCAAGAATGGCCTGCATGTTCTCAGTTTTTTCCTTCGATCCAATTATATCGCAACTGAAAATAAACAAACTTGCACTTGTTTTAAGAGCCATTTTGTAATAAAATGAAGCAATCCACATCTGTTTAAATTGTGTTTACTCAAAATCGGAAGTTTGTTTTACAGTCGCTGAAAAGAAGGAGCTCTGTTACGGAAAATTTGCATGGAACAAATAATTAGTCAAAAAAAATTTTTCAAATATAGGGAAAATGTGTTCTTTAGCTGCAAGATTTTAATTCGAAGCTAAACCCCATTCAATAGCGAACAATGAATTTCCAGAGGGCAGGTTTTTAAAATGTCGTGTAAAGATATTGCATCGTGTTACTTAATGCGGCTCTCTTCATTTCCGAAACTCGAGTTAAGACACACTCAGAAAATTAAAGGTTTTCTTTGATTGCTTTTTTAACAATCGACACGGAAGAAATTTGTTGACTTTTTTAAAACACTCCTATTTCTTCATTAAAAGTGACACGGTTTTCGATTACCTTTGACAGTTAAGACTCGGAAAGTAATTTAAAATTAATATCATCTAGAGCTATAGTTTGGTGAACTTCATCTCATCTTTGCCTTATTTCGTGATTTTTCTTCTTTTGAAATAAAAAAATCCAAACACCCGATGTCCTGAGTCTGGATACATTTCTCTAATAACACAATTCCTTTTGTAAATTATCGCTCAGGCAAACATCTACTAGGTCCAGTGTAATAATACTTCAAAGTCGCTGTTGACAATTTCAACTCGTTAACCAAAATGACACATTACGAGTTTTTGTAACAGAGTGTTGCGAGGTGAAATTGTCGCTTTTTTGTTGAATTAATAAGTTTACCTTGAGAAGCTAATGACCTTAGTCGTGCACGTGCTTGTCATAAGGAAAATTTAGAGATGGCACAAGTAGTAATTGGGTTTTGACAAAACTCTCTTTAACCAAAAGAACAAGGCTAGCGACATGATTTGTTTTGTTTAATTCCAAAGATCTCGCAAACGGGGATTATAAGTCAAGTTGTTATGCTGTATTAAGGACATTCGACTCTATAAAAGTTACCTCACTTTTCATATATCTTGTAACCGGTTGAGAGCTAGGTTACAGCTCCAGTTGTACTTCTAAGAAACAACTTATTAAGTTATGTAGAAGGGCAAGGAATTCCTTAATAGATAATTACTGAGGTTCGCAGCATTATACCCAATAATGCTGCGAACCGAAGTAATTAACTATTATAATTATTGACCCTCATAAAATCCTATTGTTCTCTCTCTGCATTACATCGACGATTTCAGTCGCCCCTTCATATTGATGTTTTGGTACACCAACAATGCAACTGGCAAGCATTGTCCAGTAATAATACAAATTGCATAATCCTTTTTCATTCCCCAATTCAGCCATTGTTAACTACTTGCAAAGATGATATAATCATTGACTCTCATGAAATCCTACTATTTTCTCTCTCCAACAATGCAATTAGCACGTATTGTCTAGTAGTTATACAAATTACATAACCCTTCTCATTTCCCGGAATTTAGTCATTGTTAAATCCTTGTAAAGATTATGTAACTTTCCACATCTTTCAGGTGTGTGATTGAATTTCATGCAAACGTAATTTGCATTGTATATTAACGCAATGCACTTGGTTATTTGAGTTGTTTGTTGGAAGGCAAAGAGTTGCTACTGTTTTGAAGCTTGATGGAGGATTCTTCGGAAGACGAATCTGCCATTTTCATAACGCAGAGCCAGAGGTCGGAAAATGCCGCTGCCGTTGAAGGGAAGAAACAGGGTTACAGGGGTTAAGCGAAAAGGTTTTAGACGAAAACCAGAGCGAAGATTATAATCAGTCAGTTGTAATTAGTACTCACAGTACGAAAATTGTTATTTCTTACAAGTGAGAAAGACTGTCATTGTCAGATGTGCCCTAAATAAACTGTAAAATGTTTTCGTCTGTACGTCTCCTGGAATGGTACTTCTCATGGTGTATTCATTTACTTTTTAACTTCAGATCTTCATCATAAATTATGCGCGGACATTCGCGAATTTTCAAAAATTACTGAGTGGAAAAGTAACGAAGTAAATACCACAGTCATGCAGCAATATTAAAAATATTGCTGGAAGCAGGCTGCATTATTAAAAATATTGCAGTGCAGCCAGCCCACTGCAATATTGAACGTTTTAGCGCGTTTAGGATTACCCCTGATAATTTCCCTGCTACCAAAAAGGATCGCCACCGTTTTCCTCAGACAGTTGGACTTGACTGAATATGAATACTTTCTCAGGCTGAAATCGCCGATATAATGCTGAGAGAGAACAATAGGATTTTATGAGGGTCAGTAATTATTTCCGTTAAGCATGCCCTCTGAGGATTGTCTTCTCGGTCAAACGTGCTCTAACCCTCTTGCGCGAGAGTCACTTTTCGCGCGTGAGCCATCTTCGCTAGTGCAAAGAGCTGGGCTAAGACTAGTTTCGTTGGACACAAATGCTTCACTTTCACACTTGAACCAATTTATTCATCTTCTGTAGAATCACCATTAACACCGCTAGAACTGTTCCTGTCTTCACGACTAAAGCATCTGTCTTTAATTTTACAAACTATCCTTCTAGCATAAAAATCTTTATACTCCTCAGGAAGCTCCTCTAACGCTTTGATAGCACGGTCCATTATTTGCATGGCCCTTGCGGCAGGGACCAAATCCTTATTTCCGTACGTGTCCTTACTGTCATAAAAGCCCATATCTAAATGACGCCAAAATACATTAACTGCTACTCCAAACTGTAGAGAAATCACATTGTGGAACCACATAGCAGGAATAAACAAAACATCACCAGGTTCTAAGAAGCACTCAAAGGGCGTTGCTTCTGCAAATTTTGGATACTTTGTTAAGTCTGGCCGGTCAATATCTAAGACTTCTGATTTATCACCATTTAAATACAGGTTTGTTGCATCTTTTGGACTGTAGAGGACAACGCGCTTCCTTCCTGTCACTTGAATAAGTAGGTTGTCCATAATCTGCAGAAATCAAAGAAGAATTTTAAGATTCGCTTATCACCGGTGTGTGCAAGAAAGAATTACTCAAAGTGCTTGATGAAGTTTGGATCTCACGACGTTCTGAATGCTGGTAGCATGCTTTCACTTTTAGCTCTAACGAACTGGAGCCAAGTTCAGCAATACGCCTGTTTTATATCAGTTCACAGGTCTCGCATACTGATACAACCAGCAGTGTGCCAACAGAGTAAAGTGAAATACAGTGAGATATAGATCACTGTGGCTTAAATATACAAAAAGGGTACAAGCTGATAGGGAAATCCAGGCTACTAGCTCTAAGCACTGAAATGTCAAGAGAAAATTAGGGTAAGCTGGGAAAATACTTTCTATTGCTAAAATAAGCAAAAAACAAACAAACACAGCTGAGTGATTCATTGTGGCTGGTGATCTTGTAATCCAGCCAAGAGAACGAAGAGCCCTATTTGCAAGCATTTAACTCCAGACCAAAGGTGCCCTTGACCTCAGTTAGTTTAGGTTGCTAACACGAACAAGACAATTTACTCACACACTGGCTTATTGCACCCAAGAGTAATGGTTACCTATCAAGGCAACTCCAAAAATGCTACCTGTAATAGAGTAGTGCTAACGCCCTCCACCCTATCACATCCTCCATCCTGTCACGCCTTCCATCCTGTCACACCCCAACCTGTCACGCCCTCCATCCTATTACGCCCTCCAACCTGTCACACCCTCCATCCTGTCATGCACTCCAATCCGGTCACTCACTTGACTAGTTGTAAATGCTAGGTGTCCTGTGCACTAGGCCCAGTCTGCGCCGAGGTGTTGTCATTCGACACTAGGTCAAACCTCGGCATACGTGTGCTTTTATCGCTTGTTATTTTCGCCTTTATTTCTCGGATAAGGATCGTTTAACTAGTCTCACATCGAAGGAATAGAACATTACGGAAGCATTACGGATATTTCAGCAGTTTTCAAGGTTACGGATAGAGACACTTGCTTGTTTGTAAGGATTTCTTGTACGGTATTGTATTCGAACGGTGTGCTGAGCGTAGTTGATCGGATCGAATAAAACGTGGAATTGACATCGAATTGACGGCTGTTACACTAGTTTCTAAGGACCTTTCACTTCAGTCTCAGCGCCACAAAGTTAATCAGTCTGTTTCTATCAGAAGGGCAGTTATCTAACTAAACCTTTGATCCCTGGAGTGACTTGTATCCAATTTGGCCTCATATTACTACTACTGTATCAAACATCAAGGTCAAGACAATGAAGGAAATGTCCACTGAATGATGAAGCAATTTTTCCATGTCATTATATAGAGAACAGTAATACGATGGATATGCAAAGCAATACCAGGATGTAAAAGGTTAAAGTCATTTGAACGACCAACAATAATTATTTGTTGTGAATGATGATACCAAACTGATGACATGAAACCAGTAAATAGCAGTGATTTTGGTTAATACCTGTAGAGAGGATAGTTTAAGTTTGGGCTGGTTTGTTTCAAGTTTACTGTCATTTCTATGCAGAAGAGGGGACTTCTAGGGCCTAACTTTCTCCATTTTTGGGTTTCATCAAGGCTACGGTTAATGTTTGTGTTCTTTACTCTTCTAGTTTCCTTCTCCACCAAGAAGTATCAATGAGAACCAGAGACCAAGAATCAACATAGACATTCACAATGTCCATGCATAAGTGGCTTTTCTGAAGTCACTTTCAATAAAAACCATTCCCTTTCAACATCATTCAATTCTCACCTACTTTTCTTTCACAGACAAATATGAAAGTGTCATTCATGATAAACTGGAAGATTAGTCAAATGAATGAAACAAAAACTTCTTATTAACCAAGCACCAGGGCCCTACTGAGAAATATTGGCATGACCTTGTGGTAGCTCAAGGTCTGTACAAAATGACTGAGAAACCATATTCCAAATTGTGACTCAAGCAAATGAGATTAGCAAGTAGTTTACATGGTACCTAAACCAAACTTGTTCATTTTGAATTTTCCAGCAGATGTTGAGAGCAAAAATAACTGGCATATGACCTTTTCCATAGAAATGGTCCTTTTGGCAAAATCCAGACCAAGTATGAAACAATCAGAATCCTTGGATTTAACTCAAGACTAGCTTGCCATACAATGATAATTAAATCAAACCTTTATGTTGTGGATAAGAAATACATTATCATTTAACTTACATCATAATGTGTCCACAACTGCCCTTGTGCTGAACTGATTCTGAACACACTTGAAAAGAATCTGTCCTCTGGGTACAACTTTGGGATTTTTATATCTTGAGCTAAGCTAGGGAACTGAATTGTGATGTCAGAGATATCCTAACAAAACAAAAACACAGAGTAAAAAGGACTGTATTACAATATAAAGCATGTGATATTGACATAAAAAATTATAGCTTAATCTAAATTCATTTTCTCCAGAGTCCTTATCAACCCTACTTCTCTACATACAAGACCTTAGGACAGTTTGAGCCTAACATGATATCTGGAAGCAAAATTTAACCCTTTAACTCCCAAGATCTCATTGTTAATTCTCCCCTCAAGCTGCTACACATTTGCTTGTAAATTAGTTATGAGAACTTGGTTTTAGATCAACAAAGTAGCTTCTACCTGAATATATTCATGACCTGTTTGCATGGATATTATAGGGAGAAGTTTCATGCTAATCACTTCCAGGAGTTAAAATGTTGCGTACAGTGTAAATTAATTTCATACCTTTCTAGGATCATCTCCAAGAGATCTTAGATAATATTTCTCCTCCTGAGGAAAAAAAATTGTAAGTTAACTCTTAAACTCCCACGAGTGACCAAGACAGCATTTCTCCTTACAATATCAATACAATATCAAGCAGGCAAAAGATGAGAATAAAGAAAAATATCAGTTAAGGGATTATTAGTTGATCCAATACCAAATTCTCCAAACCAACATCACAAGAACTGTATGGAAGACAGTAAGGAGAATTACTAATGAGATCTTGGGAGTTAAAAGGTTAAGTATCAGATTTCTAGTCTTCACCTTGATGATTAAAAAAAATTGGCACTCTTGTATGTTACTTCTTCAATCATCTAGTAATAATGAAGTGTAGTCATTTGTTGCATCAGATGTAGTCAATATGAATCACCCCCCAGATCAGAAGTGGCTACATTCTGAGACAAACACGAATACAGTTACCTATGTACTCTAATATTTATTTCACCACACATAACATTCTGTTAACCATATTCTCTTTGTTTGTTTGTTTTTTTAATGATATAAAACATCTAATTAACTGTTTTATACCCTAAGATTCTCTATACTGCTCTCTATACATTTCCTAAGGTGTTAACAAAGAGAATCTGTTTTGACGTGAATGAAAGTGATCCTCGCAGTAATGTGCACTACTTAGGCAGTAGTGAAAATAAGGCCTGAAAAAAAAAAATTCAGGCCTGTATGGGATTTGAACCCATGACCTCTGCAATACCGGTGCAGCGCTCTACCAACTGAGCTAACAAGCCACCTGGGAGCTGGTTCTAAATAAACCCGTGAAGTGATGAAATAAACGGTTAAGAATATATGAAAGTCATATATTTGAACTGCGGATAAAGACGTGAATGAAAGTGATCCTCGCAGTAATGTGCACTACTTAGGCAGTAGTGAAAATAAGGCCTGAAAAAAATTCAGGCCTGTACGGGATTTGAATCTGTTTTACAATCAAGAGCTTCTTTAGTTGGTAATCATTTCCTTTACTCTCATGACCCTAATGTTAATGATTTAGAGGTGATATTGTAAGGAGAAACTAGATGTTAATCACTATTAGCCTTTTAAAGGGTTCAAATAATTAATAATACAACTGCAAGAGGTCTTACAGGTTGCCATACACTGCTGGTAAGGGGCTTTTAAGGAAAATCCTGTACTCGTCCAGGTTATATTTATTCACTAATATTTAAGAGTTTTACAATAAAGGTATTTAAAGTACTTACTGGGCAAATAAAATATTCTTTATGAACAGTTTCACAAGTCCGCATGACGAACTTGTTAAATGGAAGAGTTCTGAAAATAAATTGAAAAAATACAAAAGTGAAGGCATTGTGAGGTTTGTGAAAATGTCCAACCTTGGTAAAAATAGTCATGGAAGGTCTTGTGAGGAGGGGAGCTAATATCTGTAGGCATTAACCTTTAACTCCTATGAGTGATCAGGAAAGAATTTCTCCTTACAATATTAACACAATATCAACCAGATAAGTGATGAGAATAAAGAAATATATCAATTTGGGAATAATTAGTTGATCCAATACTAAATTCTCTGAACAAACGTCATAAGAATTGTATAGTTGACAGTAAGGAGAATTACAAATTTGATCTGGGGGTTAAAGGGTTAATTTGTGAGGGAAAGAGAGCATTAAAGTAAAGATTTCCAATTCACCCACAAGTTATTAAATTTTTTTCCAAAAGAGGAACTAGTGGGGGTGATATCTTTCCTTCTCCTCCCTTGAAGAGGTCAGTTTTACAAGCCAGGCTTGCTTATATATAAGCTGGAGTAGTTTTAAGATGAAAATGGGCTTTAAGGAAGCACATTTTGATGAGAACTTTATAAAGCCCTGTGGTAAAGCATCCAAACTATTATTACCCTTTAACTCCCATGAGTGACCAAGACAGAATTTCTCCTTACAATATTATTACAGTATCAACCAGACAAGTGATGAGAATGAAGTAAAATATCAATTTGGGGATAATTAGTTGATCCAGTACTAAATTCTCTGAACTAACATTATAAGAATTATATGGTTGACAGTAAGGAGAATGACAAATTTGATCTGGGAGTTTAAGGGCTAAAAGAAAGATCAAAAGTTCTCCTCTCCTTAGGACTGCTTGGAATTTATTGTCATTGAGTATAATCTGTATTATAGAGTAAAGACCAAAATAACAAAACTACAACAAATACTGCAACAACAAAATCAAACAAACAAAGAAAAGGAAAAAATATAAAACAAAATGAAATGAAAAATATATTTTCCAGAAGGGTTCATATTTTTTGACAGTAAGGCAGTTGAACAAGAACACTTTAATGCAATCATGTTTAGTCAGCCATTTGTAACAATAACTCCTCCAGCCAACCATTCATGATAATGTTGATGGTCTCCTTATTTCAAATTCATGGGGGAATCAGTAACAATACTGCACTGAATTAGGTCAAAGGTCATTTGGGTACAAAGAGAGGTTGCAATTCTTTTCCGTTTGCAATGGAACATTAGTGATGGATTTGACTTTCACATTTGGTGACCAAGGGCTCATCAGCACTTTCAAGCAATCATATTCAGTCAGTCACTTGTAGCAATCTGCCAACTTTATATGATAACAATTTGATTATCCCCTTATTTTATATTAATTGGGGAATCAGTAACAATATGACGCTGAATCTGGTCATGGGTCATTTGGGTTCAAGAGGAGGTTGTAATTCTTCTCCATTTGCAATGGAACATTAGTGTTGGATTTGACACTCACTTTTGCTGACCAAGGGCTCATCACAGCTGAAAACCATACCCAAGAAGGAAAAACACTTAGAAATTTCTTTTTAAAATAATTAAGCATATCACATCTCTCAAAGACTATAGTAGAAGAATGGTATTTTAAACTGTAAACTCAGGTACATGAACCATACTGTATACCCTGTCCTTTTGCTTTATCTTATCACGCCTTAGCCTGATTTTTTTAGAGCCTTACTTGTATGCAAAGTTTTTGTGAATAAAGTCCATCTTCCCAGTAGGACAGACGTGAACCTTCACTGTCTTTTCACCGCCATGCTGAGCAAGATATTCCGGTGACCACTTTCCACAAGCACTGCCAATATCGAGTCCTCGTAGAAGCGCTGGCTTACGCTTAGAAGCTATATCTGACTCGAAGATCTCTTTTGTTACCCCTGTGTAGACACGAACACGCTTCTTCTCCCTTTGTGTCATTATTTTCCTTAAACTTTACATTGATCTTGACAAATCAAGGCAGTATAGTTAGTCCAAGATAATTCTTAATCAACCCTTCAGCCATGTTGCTTAAAGACGAGGAAGACTGGAATCAACAAACGAGTTTTTCGTTCCCAGGGTCTGCTCACCCGACTCATTCAATACAACTTTAGCAGGCATTCGATTACATCAAATTTTACCCAGCAAAAGAAGTTGAACTGAGATTTTGCCAAAAAATTTACATGAATGTTCCCTTCAGTTAGCAATTCAAAATTTTCCGCATGGATAAAAATATCGGTACTCCTTTTAAATAAAAAATTTTTAAAGCCCTTGCAAATGAATTAATACATAGCGAATCTTGCAATACGCACGCAGCGAAGCCCATACTCATCGAAAATGGTAATAATAATAATAGTGATAACGATAATAATTGTAATAGCAATAACAATAATAATAATAATGATGATGACTAAAATAGTGGAAAGTGGCAGCAACAATAATATTAATAAAGAAAGCGATATTCATAGCAGGGTAATTTAATCAGACATAGTTTGAAGCTACACTGGTTTGCAGATTTAATGAATGTGACCGA